TGTATAACAAGCCCCCAATCCCTGTACGCTACGACCCCTATGCGGGCCTTATCTCCGCGCCCCTGTGGCTCGCATCAGGGGCTTGAACCCACAACCAAGGCAGGAAGTCCCCCTACCCTCCCGCACGCGAGGGCGCACCTGCTGCGGGTCACAGGTTTTGTGGAACTCCGCCGCGGGGTTTCCCCCCAGTCGGTTCGGCTGTACTAAACCAAGGAAAAACAGACTCCCCTCATGAATAAGTACAAGGCACCAGCTTAGACGTATTCACTAACAAACAGCAATCACTCGGAGGCTCAGGCCATGCCCCCGAGGGAGGACGGAACAACAGCATGCACTATAATCACATGACCCCCCTGTGGCGAGGTATGGAAGCATACTCATACTGCAAGAGGTATCAGAATCCCCCGATCCTGGTAACAACAGTAAGGAATGACCACCAGTATGCACAGACCGCGAAAGGCCAGAGTAGTTGTTACAGGTTTGCTGAAGGCCACCGTCTCTCGAGGGGTTATGCCAAGCATCTGCAGAGTACGACATGGAAACACAGGATCCCCTCGTTTGGGTTGCACTGCTCAAAAAACACGGCTTGGTCTTTGTGCATTCATCTTATGGTGGCTTGATGTGCCAACGAGGACTCCGACAGTGGCACATTTCATCGTCGTCGCCGTTTGCCTGCTGCACACCTCCATGACTAGAAGTAGTTATCGGGGGGGGGGGGGGGTAGGCACTCAGTTTTTGTTTCGTCTTTGCTGCGCTTGTATCGTGGAGGGGGACTGCAGCCTTTGATTCACCTCCAGATCCGAGCGACTTCGCCAAAGAATACCCGCTTTAATACCGCCGTTGTGTACACCGGACCATGACTAAGTCCTTAAGTCATCTGCCAGGGGAACGAGGAGCGAGAAGTTCTCACTCTTTTGCTCCCTCTCTCTCTCTTTCTTTCTCCGAGGCTGTGGTGCAGGGGAGCAAGCCCCCCTACACCGCGCGCGTCAGCGCCCCCGACTGTTGCGGGTGCCATAGGAGGGAAAAGCAAAAGAGGCAACTGCCCTCACAAGGATCGACGGGGATGTCCCCGAAAATGTGTCGTCCAGCGTGCATATACTCTCTTTCTTTCGCCAGGGCTATGATGCAGGGGAGCAAGCCCCCCTACATCTAATACTCTCTCTCTCTCTCTCTCTCTCGCTCTTCTTCTACACAGCGAAAGATGATTTCTGTCTGTCTCTCCTCTTCTTTGTGTCATGTCCATTTCTCGCTCCCGTTTCCCCCCCGCACCAAGGCTTCTCCGCATCCCCCCTCCCCAAAAAAAAATAAGAATACACATACGAATGAATAAATAAACAACAAACAAAACTATAACAATAATGCCAATGATAATGAAAGAATAATGGCTAAGCAATCTAGGCCCCCCACACCCGGCAGCTGTCAACTTTGCTCTGCAGTTCGCCTGCTTCTTTGGCAGGGTCCTACCTGGCAGTCCATTTCCAAGAGCTGCACTTCCTGCACATGGGCTGCCCTTCTCGAATCTTCGAAGAGGGTTCTATTGCATGAGGAAGCATGCCTGTCTGCTACTATGCTCGTCGGAAATTCGCATTGCAGTTCAAGCTTGTCCCGACATGGATGTGGCTTGCAACGCGCCGCAAACTTCCAGCCTGCTACAATCTGACAAGGATCGCAGTCATGTCCTGCAGAGTGCCAGGCATTGGAAAAAAAGCTGCCAGCCCTGCGCTCTCAGCGTCAATACGGGCCGGAAGCGCGTCGTAGGTGTGGCCTTCCTCGAGTTGTCAGGCATGGACACGCGAGGATGCGTGATGATGCGTGGTGACCGTACAGCAAATTGAAGCTCCTCAAAAAAATCCGGTCGCTCGGTCAAAGCAATGATCCTGAAGTGTTGACCCTTTGCCCTGACTGTGTAGCGACAATGGTTCCAGAGCTACAGGATCCAGCTACTTGTGCTGCACTTTCAGTTTCAGTCCTACATGCAGAAGAAGGCACGGCAAGCACGTGACGAACAAATTCATTAGGATGAACTCACGACAGACAATCTGATGCATCTTTAAAATGCAAATTCCGTGTCATGACGACACCAAGTATCCATGTTTTCCTGAACTGGCTGGGCCAGGTGCGGCATGCTGATCCCCCGAGTCTTTTGCGAAACAAACGATCCGATGTCAAATCCAGGAAAGGCTTCGTAACAGCTGGTCCGCACGGAACAGGTTTTGTCAGCAGGCTCCACCTGTCCACTACTATTTGGTCTGCATAAGTGAGCAGCAAGCACAGGTAAAAGGCCTAGCGGCTAGACACCTAGCGGCTAGATTCGCAAGAATAAGTGTCTCTTGCTTACGGTCAGACGGGATGCTGTCGCTTGCGGGGACGCGACGAGTCCCGCCAAACACCACGATAGACAGAGCAGGCAGTTTCGGCGGAGTACCCCTGCTCGATGAAATTAATACAATCGCTGAATCGCTCGATTTCACTCGGGCGTCCGCGGAGCTTCCGGTCCGTCCAACAGGCGCGTCTGCTATAGACAGGCAAAAGACACCAATACGAACATACAAAGAGACTCACAGGGAGATATGTGAGAAAGAGTGCGAGAGAGAGGGAGAGTGGAAGAGATAGAGAGATAGAACTAAAGGAGACAGAGAGATAGAGAGGTAGGGAGACAGCGAGATAGAGAGATAGAGAGATACAGAGATAGAGAGATGTAGAGATGGAGAGGTAGAGAGATTGAGAGCTAGAGGGGTAGAGAAGTACTTGGCGACGCACACAAAAACAGATGTTGCACACATAATCCAACAAACACGACGAACAACACACTACGAGAGAAGTTTTGGCGAGTTGAGCTTCTGACATCGACGACTCTACAGGCCGTATGACCTCCGAAAATCTCTGCACTGAGGTGATGCATTCAGCACAAACGCAAAGGCTGGAAAGCAATCTGATACTCTGATCCGGCTAGCCAATCTTGGCAGTGATCGTTAGTGACACCCAAAAATGCTTCCGCAAACTTGCTATGTTGCGTTGGACAGGATAAACCATTCAGCTGTTGTGTTTGCTTTAGACATATGAAAGCATCATATGCAGTCATGCTGCCTGTGAGTGGAAACGGCCATCGAAGGCATTGAGGCAAAACCGTTTGCGCCATGTCCCTAGCATGCACACACTGTCTCCTTATTTCACAAACTGAGGAGCTGATGATTTTAAACTCTTTTGAAACAATGGACAAGGTTGAGCAAACGTCCTGAAGGGAAGGGGGGGTGCAGCCTTTAGCCACTGTCGATGGGCCAGGGGCTCATCAATACGACGTTCCCATCAGCTATCATAGACTCCGAATGGGTGGCGGAAAGTGCGTCAAGCAGCAAGCGTGAACACCAACACGAGACGAGCGCCAAAGTAGCCTCCAACATCCCCTTTTGTGCTGTCAGGGGTTTGTACACCGAAACACCAACCAGCTTCAAATAATTAATCGATCCTTTCATCTTTCAGTCACTCCGTGACTCAATGAAACAATCAAACGATCAATCCGACAAGCCTCCCTCCCACCTTCCCTCCCTCGTTCACTCACTCACGAACGAGCCTGTCTCCATCTTTTCCTTGCTTCACGGTGCAGCTTGTGCAATGCCCTCAGCGTCATTTCTGGACAGCCATTGCTCGTGCCGACGCGTACCACAAATCGAGGCAGAAGAAGTCCCAGCCTCGTGGGCCCCTCCAAGGGTAAGATCTTGGAGACCGCCTAGTGGATGAGCCACATTGTATGATGCCCTCGTGACGACCGAACGGCCTTGACAACAAACTCCGACTCCAGAAACTCCCAGATGCCATCACCTCTGTCTCACAACGGAGCGATGAAAACAACCTGCACGCTACGAAACAACCAGAACTTACAGTTCAGTCGGAAGCCATGGTGACTCGAACCGCGCCGCCTATTGGCCTTGTGGAGGACAGCGAAATCCTGTTCTCGCCCTATCCGACCGATGCTTTCCATTCCAATCTTGCATCAAATAATTCTACTGATCGATAACATGCGAAAGGGTCGCGACATGGGCTGAGTCATGAAAAGGCTGCATCAGTTGGGTCTCTAGCCACGAAGAAGACTGCGATAGATCACGCAGTTCGAACAAACATTTCGTCCCAACTGAGCCCTGGTCGAGCAGCGAAATGCGCAACGAAAGAGTGGGGAAACACAGGGCATTGAAACGACGCCCAGGGCATTCGTGAGCCAACATAAGCAAACACGATGACTCCTCAAGGCACATAAACATCCGCACGCATGCCGAATGAAGCCAGGAGACTCGCGAGGATCATGAACGGTTTTTTCCCGGCTTTCACCTCACAACGTGACATACAGAAAAAGGAAGCTCAGCTCAGCAAATCTGGCAGCCTCCGTGACGGAAATGTCAGGCTCTGCCAGGACCCCGCAATCCTGGACGAGGCAAACTGAATCAAAAGATTGGTGCACGACTTCAACCACATGCGATCATTAGGTCCCCGCAATCCAGGACGACGCAAACTCAATGAAAAGATTAGTTCATGACTTCAACTGCATGCGATCACTAAGTTTTGCTTCCCCGACACAAACCTTAGCCAGCGTGTCGCCCAAGGAGCGCGACCTTATCTCTCCAGTGACTCCTGTGATATGACATGTTTGCATGCAATCAACAGATGCAAGGGTCCAGACTTGCACAAGCCAGGATAATCCTGCAGGCCATGCAAGTTATACATAACGGTTGTTCAAGGCACATTCCACTCATTCCCACGCAACAGGATAATGGGGTGGTCCTGACCACGAGCGAAAATGCGATGCACCTCCGCAATCTCCCCACACACACACACAAACATGCACTCACAGGCTGATCTCAACGTGACCACGTCATCCCTGAAACATACTGCGCAACATTTACTGCTGTGTGCGTTCCCGTCTTCTTCATACATTGCTTCACGAGCTGTATGATGAGCACGCACAACTAACGCAAAGTCATGTAAAATGCTGCCATGGGGGCAGTGACGCTCTGCTTTTGCAGTCTTATCCTACCCGGTGGTTAGTCCATGAACACAGGCGACACGCAAACACATACTGGCCAAAAGCAAGGGCTGAACCAATCCGTACATGTCCTCATCGCCAAAGCCACATAAGACGCAACAGACGAGTTGCACGTGGTCGCGAGTCGTGTACAAGAGGTAGAACATAGGCATAACTCATGCACAGCAGCAGCAACACCATCAGGTGTCGTAGGGTCTACCCAGGGGCTGCATGTCAGACCCAACGCCGGGCCTACGGGAGGTCTCTGTTCGGGCCTGCTGTTGCTCGTCATTAAACAGTTCCCGTTGTGGCTCTTACACTTTGGCGTGCGACGCCACTCAGCTACTCCCTTTCCGGCTTGGCTCCCTCTCACATCCCTCAATTTTCGGCCCTGCTGTATCTGTCCGGTTCGGTTCGTTTCCAAAGCCGGCTTCGGATCGGATCCCATTTCCTTCTTGTGGCGGCTCTGCTTGGGCGGTGCTGGCTTCGGTTCACGCCGCGGTCCACTTGAGTGGCACTGAGCGCAGGATCTTCCGACGTCGTTGGCTCCCTGACATGTCCCACCTCGCCTCTAGTGGCCCGGCAAGAGTCTGCAAGGATTCTGGCTTTGCACCCGGCTTTTTTTCTTATCGATGCGACTCCCAGCTGAGTTCGGTTTGGGTTCGGGTGGAATTGTTTTGCTTCGCAGGCCTCGTCTCGGGTTGTCGGCTTGGGTCGGTGTCTCTCCCCGGTCGGTTTTTTGTTCGGGGTCGGTTCTGGTTAGGTTTCGGTTCGTTCGGGTTTTGTTCCGGCCTAGATGTTTTTGTTGGGCTTCGGCCTCACTCAGGCCTCCCTCAGCTCACATCTCCTGCGAGGCCCCCGGAACCCTCACGTCGCTTCCGAGGATACGGAGGTAAAGAAAAACGATTCGAAGAGTGCTCCAGGTTGAGGCTGCTAGGATTGTAAACTGGTGGACGTTGACAGGCTGCCGCGGCACGCTGCTTTTTCTAACTCTTCCCCGGGAACGACCAATGCCTGGTGCCCCGAGGAGAAAGATACCAGCTGCGGTTTTCGCAGCATGGACCTGGATCTCTAGTCTTGAAACCGCGAATAGTCCGAACCGGGAGCCATTTGCTCAAAACCAGTTTCTGTCAAGCGATCCTCGTGTGGGTCTGGCGTCCGCCGAACAGTGAGGGTCCAACACCCGGATTTCAGCCCCTGCACTCTCGGGACCCTGCGTCCGGACGCCAGACCCTCTAGCAACTGACCCTGTCAACAGCATGTATGCAGCACTTCAACAATGAGTATGGACATACGTGACACACCTTTAAACGAGAAAGCTCGTTCCGGGCGGATGTGCCTTACGTCACCTCCTGTCCTATGCTGCGGACCAATGTTGCGCACGCCAGCGGTGAGCGCACCAAGATATGAATAGGGATGGCGCCAATACATGGCCAAGATAAGTCGAGACAGTGTGAGCTGCATGCTCAACAAAGCGCACAACATGCGACGGGGACGTCGTTTCGCGCCGGCGGTTGTTGGGATTGCAGCCCTGGGAAGTCTGTCATGACGGTTTCGCAACCATGGAATGTGTCGTTGCTCTCGAAGCGACCACGACATCTCGTAGGTTTCACGCTAGTGTTTGCCCCAACATGACCCAGCCCGTCAACGACCATGTGTCACGGGACTGTCATGATCAGTGTGGCAAACTTGTTTCCTTGCCAACCCAGTCGTGTCAACGAGGCTCATCAACCACAACCGCCACCCAATGAAGCATACACGCACAATAGCCCACATATTTCTTACGATGGTGTTGTACAACCGGCCTTGGAAAACGAGATAACATGCTGAACCTGGCAAGATAAGGCCCCTGCCATCCAACCATCCGCGAAAATCTCGGAGCGCACCTGCACAACAACGCCGAACACTCATACGACGCAATGCGCGATGCAGGCGCCGCTGTGAGTCAAGCCTCTGCACCGGCTGCGTTTATCCGAGCCTCTGGGACACAGGGTTTTCGATTGATGTTGGAAGAACAACGGCCAGAGACATTCAAGCCTGTTCAATGGGGACGTCTGGCTTGTGATCCTGCCAAAATGACATTACTGAAAAGTGTCCATGCCAAAATTTAAAACGTGAGGCTTTGAGCCTCTGTGGCGAAAACGAGGGAACCAGATTGTTCCATTCCAATCACACACCTGCCGACTGGAAGTGCAGCACGACGGGAGTGCCGATGGGGGCATGAGGAACCGGCCAAGAAAATAGGACTATGCTCTGTAGACCTTATTGTGTATGTCGTACCGGATCAAAGCACCATTACAGTTCAAAAAGACAACTCTCATTTCGCAAGTCGTTGTTATTCTCGTGCGTACTTGTGCGGCACCGGCGATCCCAAGCCAGGACGCTCTAGTTTTAAGCGCTTTCCAGCGCACAACGACCGACCGTGTCCGATGTGGATGAGATCCGAAAGCTCTGTCGAATTCCGAAATATAGTCATGTAAATGGTCGTTTGACCCGGTAGACCGCGACAGCGATCAAAGCACGGAGACTATGGCTGAATGTTTCGCTAGGGTCACATGGGTTGATTGGCGCCATTCGGCATGAACCGCTGAAAGTTCCACTTCCTTCGTGCTTGGAAACAGCAAAATTACGCGAAACAAAGCTTCCGGTGTTGAGCTGCACGTACCTTGAACCATCTTGAACCCATGGTAGGTCTGCTGGTCTTGACGGGTTGCCACCTGAGATTTGGAAAAAAACGTTTTCAAAACAAATTCCCGTGCATGCGTTTGGGCAGTGGCCACCGCAGTTTTCAATAAGAACGATCCTGGTCGATGGCCGCTCCCCCGAACGCCACGCGTTTTGCCGTTGCCGAGGCCGCCTCGACCCGCTGGGTGGCCACCGCTAAATTGTGCTCGAGCATGCCGTCGCCCGCATCTGTCGGGAGGGTGGCGCACGAGTTGCACGCAACGTCAGGGTCGTTGACATGAACATCGATGTCCCCGTCAGTGACGCGCGGTGCATTGAGGTCGTCGCGAACGGCCTGCCCCATCGGCACGGGGCGCAGCTCGCGCTTGATGCCACCCTCGTCCGCCCGGTTACGAGCTGAGGTTGCCTCCTCCACCTTGCGCCACCGTACGGCCGGCCTCCCGCCGCCGCTCCGGGCCGCTGCCTGTGCAGGCTGGGTCCAGCGCTGGTCCGGCATCTTCGCTGTCGCCGCCATGCGCGCCTTCTCGGCTGCTGGAGCTGTCGCCTGGTGGTGACCTTTGAAGTACACAAGCTAGCATTTCCAGAGCCGCCACCTCGACACCGCCGGGGTTCGTCGCGGCTAAGCTGAAGCTTCCCTTCGGACCTAACCACCGGCACGGACAGCTCACTCTCTTTTCAGCAGCGTGGCGCAGGCCCCCTGTCACCCGGAGACAAACCCTAGCTGTCCTGGCGCTAGGGGTCCGTTACAGGAGCCCGCGGTGGAAAGCTGCGTGCCGGGACGCTAGAACCTGAGAAGGCCAGTGACCTTCGATGCTGGTTCGCCAGGCCGGGACGCCGGTAACGGTTGTCTGGCCGAGCCACTGTTGTGGCACGACCTGCCTTTCGGCTCCGACTACCTCGCGCGCTACGCGGACCCAGGCCAGCAAGCCTGTCGTCGAACAAGCTAGGGCATGGTCGCCCAAAAGGCCCATGGCTCCGCCACATCCGGGGCTGGGGCTGGGGCTGAAACTCAGGGGCAGACGCAAGCGTCGCCTCAACGCGATTTGCATTGCTGGGATGATGGTTGCCTGGTCGCACGGCACAGCAGTCTTGGTGGCGGGCAATGCATCGGCCCAAGAAGCCAAATCAGCAGCTGGTGCTATCGCCTCAGCTTGGAGCAACCCAGGCCACCCAGCGCGCCTAGCAGGGTGGCGACTTGCCTGGCATGGGCAACCTCCGCCTCGCCAATTCCCCCAAGCATGGCCTGCAGTGTCGTGCATATGGCATCATCAGGTCCCCGCGGATGCACATTAACAGGAGCAGCCGCGCACGCTGCAGGTCTCGGAGCTTGGGCAGTTTTTTTTTTTTTCCCCCACAACC